TACATACATCTCTATCTGAATATCTGAATTCACTGCCTTCTCTAGCATCTCTGCAGCACAAAACATACTTCCATCCACATTATATCTCAATTACTTGTTCATTCTGTTCAAAACAAGACATGTTTCGTAACAGCGTCAATGGAAACCGAAGGTTGTTCACAATTGTGATGTACGAACGTATAAAGTTTCGAAATTTGAGTTAAAACTCGCATAGAGATGTGTGCTTATGTAACCATAAGTTTCGACAGAAGATAAATGCGCGAGTTTAGTTTAGAAATTACGATATGTCTGGCGTCTTTGTTATTGAATTTCGAAATTTTAAAACAGACGAAGAAATTTTATTAGCTGACCTACTGTATAGTCGCGGAAATCCGCGGGGTTTCACTTGAGGATAAATTGACTTGTTAATCGAGACAAAGTCCGTCTCTTCCTACAAATAAATTAGATGGGGAAACGGAGGGATAAAAAGATAAAAGGGACGGATGAAAGGAGAATACATGTGGCGGAAATGCGAATGTTAAGATGGATGTGTGGGGTAACACGATTAGGTAAGATACGAAATGACTATATTAGAGGAAGTTTGAGAGTAGCCCCAATGGTAGACAAATTAAGGAGTAAAAGGTTAGCGTGGTATGGGCATGTTATGAGAAGGGATGAATCGTATGTAACAAGAAGGACGTTAGTTATGAATGTGGAGGTAAACCGGTAGAGGTAGATCTAGAAAGAGATGGATGGATTGCGTGAAAGGTGACATGATCAAGAAGGGAATGATGACTGAGATGACGTATGATAGAGTTATTTGGAGGACGAATTTTTGAGTTATAAACAGTGTAACTAACACTATTTTTTTTTTTATTTATAGAGATGGTGGAGCTTGTAATTTTGTACATTTTATTTTAACATGTCAATACAAGGACATGAGGTGTCGTAAAACATGACAACTAACATATTACCTTTTAAAGAAGTTACCGGTGAAAATATGTTCACTATAGTCTATGTATTTCTTAAATGTCTTGTATAAATAGAAATTTTTAATTCCAGAGTGGTGAGGTAACTATAGGCGCGAGGGACGGCGCTGCTCATGTACTTCGCTGTCTTAAAGTGTGGTTCGATCTGCCCGCGGATGTTCTTGTCAGCGCCATTAATCTATTTGACAGGTGAGGAATACGAGAGAAAACTAACATGGGCCTCGACAGTCTAGGGGGGAGCGAAAATCAAGGGTCTAGTCATCATCATCAACTTGCCCTTATCCCTTAGGGAGGGTCGGCACAGTACGTGCTCTTCCATACATCTCTATCAGCCATAACTGAATCCACTCTTTTCTTAAGCATATCCTTTTTCACACAATCCAATCAATCATGGGACTAGTAAAAATGCTTTCCATTAGTCATAAGATAATGCTTGTTATTAAAAATTCCTACACTTACGACACGCTTTAGGCTATATATTTTCACGCCTACTTCGAATGGGTCGAATTGGAAAAAAGATAAGCCAATAGCAGAAAAGAAGGGTCATTATGGTAATGGAAATTGTTATTCAATGATTCATTCGCCAATAGCCTAATGGTTTGTGGTACGGCTTTCTTGCAGTCGAGGGTTCGAATCCCGCCATTCGACTGACCTGAACCATATCCTAGCACAAGCCTACAGCTTTGTTGGAATTGTTAAAGGAAATATTAGTAAACCAGCTTTCGCCTACGACTCTGTTCGCGCGAGCTAAAAAAAAAACAAAACTGAGTAGCCTACGCGTTCTTCCAGATTATCCTCTACATCTATGCCAAATTTCATCGAAATCCGTTCGGCAGTTTAGGCTACAAAGTCTAACAAACATCCATCCATCCATCTAAACTTTCACATTTATAATACTAGTAAGTAGTAAGATTAACAAAAATCTAACATTTAAAAAAAAGTCAAAGGCGTTTGTTATCATTTGTGTATTTGAATTTTAACATTTGAGATTGAAAAAACCCATAAATGTAGACAAAAAAATATAATTTGATGCGGATAAAACCGTACGGGAACAGTTAGTTTATAATATTAGTGTAATTCCAGATTCCTAACCAAGATGAAGGTGCGTCCGTGTCACGTGCCTTGCATCACGGTGTCCTGTATGAATGTGGCGCTGGACGAGCACGCGGAACTCACCAAGCAGCCGAGGACCGTCTCTATTGAGGAATTGGGTGAGAACCACTAAATATTACTGATACACCCTGTATATCATGTTATAAGGCCCAGCTTTAGTCTCTTCTCCTTCCCCCCCTTTTTTTCTAAGAAAAGGATGGGAGGGGCACGTGTACTTAACGCTTGGAGACGCTTAGGAAGTGAGAAATTGTGTAAGCACTACTAAATATTTCATAACAAAAAAATATAAGCAAGTAGCCTATGTGTTCTTCGAGACTATGCTCTACATCTATGCTAAATGTCATCCAGATATGTTCAGCAGTTTAGGCTACTCTGCTCTGCGACTCCGTCCGCGTGGAATTTAAAGAAAATCAAAAGTAAAATAGCCAATGTTGTCTTCCAGACTATCCTCTGCATCTGTGCAAAATTTCATCGAGAATCAGAAACATCCATCCATACACGGAATAAATAGTATCCTATGTCCGTCTCCTGGCTCATAGCTACCTGCTCACCAATTTTCAGCCATATCGGTTAAGCCGTTCTTGAGTTATAAATAGCGTAATTAACACAATTTTCTTTTATACATATTAATATAAAAGTTTCCATTGTTTCACAGTGTCGGTATCTCAGTCGGCGTGCACGTGGCGTGACGTGGCGCGTATGTCGCGCGTGCTCGCCGACAAGCTCGCGTTGACGAACGCGCGCGCCGTCACTCCGCTGCACTGGCTGCGGCTGGTGCGCGCGCTCGCCGCCGCACCCGCGCCACAGGTAGAACATATGCCTCACACTGTGCTACATATGCTACACACTGTAAGATACATGCCACATTCTGTACGACACATGCCACACACTGTACTACACATGCCACACACAGTATTACACATGCCACGCACAGTACTATTCATGCCACACACAGTACTATGCCACACAGCGTTTAAGACCTACGCCTTTAATGAATTTACACACATAAAAAAATACATTACTTAGGGCCTGTCCCACCACTGACTGATAGAGGCTCAAATAGCTTAAAAGTGACGTCATTGTCAGATGATGGAACAAAATCCGATATTTCCATCACATTTTACACATTGGATTATGAGACAATTAACAATTTGGTGGGACAGGCCCTTAAAATGTTTGTTTGTATTATTTACTATTATTGTTTTTTTTTACAGGAAAGTGAATTAGTAAATTTACTAGAAATAGCGATCTGTGACGCAGGATGCGCTAACGCCAGGATGAGCGAACTGGCGCTCGTCATTGTATACCATCAATTAGGTAAGATTGGGAATACATTTATACCCGGTTTCTGAACTTTATTGTTACTCGCGACTTTGTGTGAAAATAATAAATATAGTCTATGTTACTGATAGTGTTGCTTTTTATGGTGTAGGAATTTTTGAATTCAGCCGAGTTCGAGGTATTTCAATACATACAAATCATTCCTCTTTTTATTTCTTAACACTATATCTATACTAATATTATAAAGAGGAAAGATTTGTATTTTTGTTTGTATTGAAATAACTCAAATACTACTGGGCTAATTTCAAAAATTCTTTCACCACAAGAAAGGTAATTTATCTGTGAGTAACATAGGCTATATCTTTAATTTCACGGGTACGAAGTCGCGGGAAAAAGGTAGTATTTTATAAAAAGATAGAGCTTATTATATATATACCTTTCAGATATAGTACCGGTAAAATTTTGTCCACTGTCTATATTATTTACTAGCTGTTGCACACGACTTCTCCCGCGTGAAATTAAAAAACAAATATAGCCTATGTTACAGAGAAATTACCTTTCTAATGTTGAAAGAATTGAAATCGTCTTAGTAGTTTTTACGTGGATAGAATACATACAGAAATACAAATCTTTTTAATATTATTATAGATATCTTTGCATAAAACCTATCTTATTTGGATGTTTTTTTTCCAGAGAAACAACTAACAGAGTGGGCGAGACATAAAGACGTGTCGGACGAGCTTTACTATCTATATGAGTTTGCGGCGCAGCTGCAGGCGTATTGTAACGTAAGTATATCTTCTCTATCCATACCTCATATAATAAAGTGAAAACACACACTATTTAATGGCTAAGGATATTTTTATAATATAAGGTGGTAAATCACACAGAAAACAGGCATGAAGTGGAAGCAATTCCGTGTTTCCTCTGATGAGTGTGGTGACAGAGGTCTTATTTTAGTCCCTTTTCCTTTCCACCCAATCCTTTTACTTAAGAGGAAAGGATGGAAAGGAAAAGTGTATTTGACAGTATAAAAAAACGAGCAAGTGACCTGAATCCGCCGAAATGTAAAGCGACCGCACATAAACATAAGAAGAAGCGAGGAGCGAAGAAACAGAAGCGAGCCTATCATTTCCTCAAAGGCCGGCAACGCATCTGTAGTTCCTCTGGTGTTGCGGATGTCCATGGGCGTCGTTGACCACTTTTGTGTTCCCGTCGCTCGTTTGCCCCCTTCTCATATAAAAAAAAACATCCGCAATTGCAGCGCTGCCTGCCCTTCATTGACGGAGACGCACATAAAGAGGACATTTCCCCTTCCTATGCATCCCCACCGTCAAATCCATTCCTTCCCATCCTTTCCTCTTAAGAAAGGGGTGGTAAGAGAAAGGGATCACAATGAGGTCTCCGGCCACACTCATAAGACTGTACGCGGAATTGCTTCCACTTCACGCCTGTCTTGTGTGGTCGTGGTATTGCTGAGAGTCCTGCACTACGAACATGTTAAAGCGGGCTCTACCACTGTTAAAGTAGTCAGTTACAGCATATTTCTGAATAATTCTTTCTTTAATAAAAAGCCCTACACTTACACGCTTCATGCTATATATTTTCACGCTATTAAACTTAGGTTGGTAAATAAATAGAAAAACAACTTTCATGTCAGAAAGAGTCAATAAACTACAAGCTGCCAACGTTTAAGAAGAAAAATTATTATGGTAACGGTAATGTTAACAATAAAATAAAGTTTTTATAATACCATGCGGGTGAAGCCGCATGGGAACAGCTAGTGATACATGTAGAGGAATATTTAAGATACTCTTGTTATTTCCCTGACTGAGTCGCGGGCAAATGCTAGTATAAAACTCGATGGTAAAAGTTTGTTTTTATTTCAGATGTGTGAAACGTCGTTATTACGTACTCGCGATGTGTTCCGTACTGTGTTGTCGCGGTACGAGGCTCGCTGCGCCGCGCCGCAGAGACAGCGACTTGTATGGAGGTTGTCGGAACGCACGTTAAAGGTAAATCTTACTAATATTATAAATGCGAAAGTTTAGATGGATGGATGAATGGATGGATATTTGTTAGAGTTTGTAGCCTAAACGGCTGAACGGATTTCGGTGTAATTTGGTACAGATGTAGAGGATAGTCTGGAAAAACATATAGGCTACTCACTTTTGTTTTTTTTAGTTCCACGCGGAAGGAGTCGCGGGCGGAAGCTTGTATCATATAAATAAAGTTACGATGGATGGATGGATGTTTGTTAGCGTTTATAGCCTAAACTGCTGAACGGATCTCCATGAAATTTGGCACAGGTTTAGAGCATAGTCTGGAAGAACACATAGGCTAACGGGAATAGTTACGGTTCCCGTGAGATTCATTTAGTTTTTTAATGCTTACTCGATCATTCTGCAACGGTTCAACATATCTCATTGAAATTTGTCACAGATATAAAACAAAGTGTGGAGTACGCATGGGATAAGGTCCTCGGGAAATGTCTGGTTCCCGGGATACGTAGCTTTTTGTTATTAATATAGTTCGTATACCACGCGTTTTGGTTCACGGTTTTAGTTAACCGAAACCAAAACTAAATCGTTGGTGAATTTTATAGATCTTACTAGTCAATTACAAATAACTTTTGTATCTGTTAAAAATAGTAGAATGTAAATTACTTATTTGCTCCGTCGATGAAGAACTCTGAATTTCCAATTGTTGTTAAAAATACACTTAACAATCGGAAATTTCGGTTTTGGTAGAAATAGAAAGCAAGGCCAAGGCCGAAAAAGTTCGGTTTCGGTTTCTGTTTCGGCGGAAAAATCTGTGTCGGTCAAACACTACTGAATATACCAGTTTGAAATACCAAAATTGAATGCTTTAAATAAAAAAAATATTACAATTGAAAAGTGTTTCTATTATTTTTCTAGAAACAAACATCCGTCTTTAAATTTATTACTAATCTTGTTTCTTTTATTAAATTTGTTCTAATATTACAGGTACTTCGACCAACGGATCGTCTGACCTCGCTCTTGCCGACCATAGAGGAACAACACCTCGCCACAGACAACACGCCCAGTAGGAATAGGTACAATATTATTTATATTTAAGTGGATGGATGTATGGATGTTAAAAATATCTCCATAAATTGCCTCAAAGTGAAGTAACCTCCTTCATCTGCAATTGCAAATGCGTTGCCTCTTAATTGTCAGATATGTACATAAAGAGGATATTTCCGCTTCCTTTTTGTCTCTTCCATTGTCAAATTAATATTCCCTTTATAAAAAGGATTAGAAGGGAAAGGAATTAAAAGTAGGCCACCGGCACGCAATTTAGAACACATAAGATACTATTTTAATTTCGCGAAGGCAATCCGTGTGCTAAAGCTAGTATACCATTGTTTTTATATGGATAAGACATTTTAAAAATTAAACGTGAAGCTTCATGCTAAGGTAAAAGCCTAATATGTTACATACAGACAAACTTATTTTTTATAATTTTTTTCTAGATCGGGCAGCGAAAGTAGCGAAAGTGAGGAGACATCTGATTGGCCGAGGAGCCCCGTCCTGCCGGTCTACTGCAGCAACTGACAGCGACCCCCAAACACCCCCCGGGTCTACACGAGAAAACGCCCCCCAATTCAACATTCAACAAAATATAGTTGAGAAAAATTAAAGGTATTAACGACCCCCAAAAAATTACTAGTCTAAAGAGTAACAAAGACCCCCAAACATCAAGATACAAGATATATAGACGAATTTTAGATGCCAACGACCACCAAAGTAGTCAAGAGTAACGAACACCCCAGGCTTCTAGTAATATTTGGAAAAATAATAACGACCCCCAAACTCCATGTCAAGCAGATGAGACAAGAAGACCCCTAAACTTGAAGATTTAACAAGATATATGGTTAAAAAATTATACGTATTTATAACGACCCCCAAAACCTAATAGTCTGTTAATCAAGAGAAACACAGACCCCCAGACTTCAATACAAGAGATGAATGCAAAGACCCCCCCAAAACCGACCCCATGCGTAAATCGTTCTTCAACCCCAACCTTAATAATTTTTGGAAATTAATATTTCCAAAAATATAAACGTACCAACAACGACCCCCAAAACCAACCACAAGACTAATATAAATGTTCATATTTATTTATGTTTTAGTACGTTTTATATCAAATCTACTAGATTTTTTTAACTAAGGGAAATTTTAAGCCTTTTTACATTTAAGGCAGCTAGTGAAAATTTACCTTTATACATTTAAATATAGAAAATACTGATCTGCAATAATAGATCGGTTGAAAATTACACCTTATAGAAACAGTTATAGTTGACCCGAGTCAAATTGACATCTGACTTTGTCAATGTCATTTGAAGGTCATTTTTTATAGACATACAAGAATTTTATGTCAGTTATCAAAATATGAATTAAAAATCTCATTAAAACGTCATATTTTGACCAATGGAGGAGCGTTTTTATATTTTTTTCCAGAAATAATAACAGATGTGCATAAGACTAGCTGTAGCTCGCGAATTCGGCCGCGCAATAGCCTACGTTACTGATAACGTAACTTTTTAATGGTGAAAAATTAAATCGTTGATCGTGTGATCTGTGAACTGAACTGATCACGTGATTAGTGATGTCTCATGAATTCGTTTCCCATCACTAGTTGGATATCTTGTGCTATATTTGGATCCCACTTTTGAATTAATGTCAAAATTCCGTGATCCGTTTAACGTCGGTTTATATATGAAAAATATATTTATTTTAAATTAATGTCAACTTGGATTTGGACATTATTTAATAAAACAGACGGAGTATTTATATTTGCATTTAAAAGATTTTTTAAGACAGGTTTTTTTTATTTTATTACTAACCCAATAATCTTTTTTCTAAGAAAATTAGTTTACTCTGTAAAACCGTATTTATTTACTATTTGCATTATAATGTCCAATCTAAAGTCCAAATATTAAAAAAATGTCGGTATTTTGAGTTTTTTTTATTAGGAGTTTTATATCTGGGGATACATAGTATTGTATATAAAAACATGAGGTCTGTCGAGATAAAAATAGCCTATTTTTGAAGAAATTTAGTAAAAACTTGGGGGTATTTGAATAAAATTTCTAATTTCTCGCAGTTTATGAATCGTATTTATTTTTAAATAATCTGTTTTATTTCTTTTTAGAAAAACTTAAGCAAGATTTACAAAAAATTTGATGTTCATATTTTTTTTATTTTCGATTTTCTACCTACCCCAAAAAATCTTGACTTGGTTATAAAATGCTCGAACGATCTTAAAAGTGTTTACACCTTATCAATGATAGCTTTAAAAGTCTCCCATTTTTTGTAGAGTCTAAAAAATGAAAAAAAAAAACGTGCTCCACTCTAAAAACAGTTGTCTTTGTGATTTTTTTGTAAGCGGCGTAAAATATTCCATATAAATAGTGCGTAAGTGATTACGGGGGTAAATATGAAAAAAAGCCACCGAATTTTTTTTTTAAAGTACATAATTTAGTATTTAATTGAATGTCTAATTTTTTTTTAATGACTAACTCTGATCAAGGGTTTTTATAATTTGGTATAGTAAAAAAAACACAAAAAATATTATAATTATTGTCACTTTATTTTGTAATTATTCTTAATATTTGATACTTATTATTAATTTAGGTGTAAATGAAAATAAATGACAAAAAAATTATATAATATTGTAAAAAATCCGTAAAAAAATGTGATCTCAGGTATTTTTTCAATAGAACACGAATCGAATCATTGAGAAAAATGTAAAAAAAAATTGTCTTTGCATGTGTGTGTAAATTTTAATATAAATGTATGTATGGAAAAGTCAAGCATTTCGGCTTTACGCCATTGTATGTAATGTGAAAGCATAAATCTATGTATGAAATTAGCTGTGAGTGAACGAGACAAACATATATATCCTATATAAGTGCGAGAGAAACGGAGGATACTTGTCCCGTTCTAATCGTATTGCTAATTTATACAAAGGTTTGTGGCGTGTTGTGGTAGTTTTTTTTGTTCTAGAAAAATCTATGTGACGCGTGAATATTTTAATGTCTTATGTGGAAATGTCTGTGGTATGTTAGTGTAAAAAGAATTGATGGTTTGTTAAAAAATTGTCTATGGCTGAAAGGATTGAGCTTTTGCCTCCAGTGGGTGAAAAAAAAAAACAAACTGTCAGTTCGTTTCGCAACAGTTTTGGCGACATCTGTGAAAAATGGAAATTGTATTTTTAAAATGATGTAAAATGTTTGAATTTTAGGCGAAGTTATTTATTGAAGTGATATTGCACGCCACGTTGTTTTTATTTTGTGAAGTTATTGTGAACACCAATAATTGTGATGAAAAAGATTGAAATATTAAGTCTCGAAACGAGAATAAACAGTTGCGATTCTATTTTGTTGTTTTATTTTTAACGCCACCAACGAAAATATTAGAAACGTTACCAGGAAAGAAAAATTAAGTCAAAAACAGCAAAGTATTGCCATGGTAACATTATTAAAGGCCTTTGAATGTTGCCATGTTCAAGGTGGATGAAGCAGTACGAGAACAAGTATCAAATAAAACAATTCTTAATGACAAAAAAGTTTTTATTTTCATAAGTTAACTAAACCCAATAAGGTAAAAATGAAAACAAAAAACAGAAATTCAATTGACACTAACATGCAAAATTCCATTGTTTTAACATCATTTAGAACATTTTCTTATATTTACACAAATTGAGAGATTTTTTTATAAATGGTATCCAATAGAATTTCAATCGGCTCTTAAACATAACACTGTGTTAAGAAATTATATTGTATTTTTCAGCAACATATCGAGATATTTTATATTCCTGGTCGTAACAAAATAAAACCTTAAACAAATGTTTATTGAATAAAAAATGTAGTGTTAAGAACAAAATTAGTACCGTGCTGTAGAATTGGCGAAACTCTAGATTATCTGCATAAACGTCACGTCCCTAGCTGACAGCTGTCAATGTCACTACACGTATGGATGGATTTGGCGCGCATCCAGAGTCCTGACGAGAAGTGTTGCTCTGAGTTTAAAGCGACAGTATCAATTAAATAACTAGTCTAAAAATAGTAAATAAACCTAATATATAAACACGAACATGCATAAAAGAAATAAAACTACTCATTCAAAACCTAACATAAAATATACAAAAGGATACACGTCGAGTTATATGTAAAAATAACAAAAAAAAATACTTCATTTCATACACTTATGTCACTTCACTTCTATTTACACATTTTTTCCAAAAATAACTCAAATGAGATTACATAAGGGAATTTGACTCTTTTTCATGGGACAAATGAGTTACGATCGCTGATCTGTATAAATAGATAGGCTATTGTTTGGGTGTGAAAAGTTTTTTGACCCAACTTAAATTTTTTGATGATAATAAAGTCTTAGCCTATCCATTTATATAGGTCAGTATACCAAACGCAACTAGCGACAAAATGGCGAAAATTGTCTAATTTCCTCGCCTGAGAGACTACATAGAGACTACTAGAGACAGACTTTTGTAGACACAAAATATAATAATTTTTAGCCTGCCTTTTAGAAGTCAGTGGTATTCGCCAAAATAGCGAATACTATTTACTTTAGGTGTTTACTTGAAAAATATTATGCAGCTTTTTTATCATTTTTTTTAAAGAAATCATATAAAGATGTTTGAATTAATTTGTCAGGGGTTTTTTCTGTTTTTATATTTCTCTTTTTTATTGGAATTTTTTCTTTAGGTTTTTCTAAAATCTGTCGAGATTTTTCCGGCGAGAATTTTAATACGTACTGTTTTAATTTCTTCATTTTCTGTATTTTCTTCTTTCTAGAAGATTCTGTTATTCTTAATTTCAAACGTTCGTGTTTGAATTTAATCTTGATTTTTATATCTTTATTTTTAATAGACAATTTTTTCCTTTTTTTCATCTTTTTCCGTTTGATAGAACTATCTAAATCAATTTCTTTGTTGATTTTTCGTTTTTTTTTAGTAATAGTTTCTTTTCTTGGTAATTTCCTTTTCATGGCCGTTTTGATTTCTTTTATATTATCGATTCGTTTTCTAACTTTTCCCACTTCATTTAAATAATGATTTTTAAAACTTTCGATATCAATATTTTGCATTTCCGTTTGTAATTCTTCTTTATTCGGATTAAATTTAAAAGCGCATTGTTCTTTTATATTTTTTTCCACTTTTTTAATATTCTCTATTGGATTTTCGTCGTTTTTAACATCTATTTTTACTGTTTGATTGTTTTCTGATATTTCCATTGTTGAGTTTTTTTGTATATGAACCGGTTTTAATTTTTTTGGTGTTAAAAATACTTCAACATCTTTGATATCTGAATCTTCTTTTTCTAAATTTTCAATTATTTGCATATTTCGTTCAAAATTCACTGTGTTAGCTTCATTTATATCAAATCCTTTAAAATCTACTGTTAATGAATCTTCTTTCTCTTCTTTCTGTAAAGAAAATATTTATAACTAGCTTTCGCTCGCGACTCCGTCCGCGTGGAGTTAAAAAAAAGTGAGTAGCCTATGTGTTCTTCCAGACTATCCTCTACATCTATACATAATTTCTTTAAGATCCGTTTAGCAGTTTAGGCAACAAACTCTAACAAACATCCATCCATTTAAATTCGCATTTATAATATTAGCAAGATAAAAAATATGCAAAGTAGTTTTTGTGTGAATCAGATACATACAAAAACACAAATCTTACCTTTTTTTATTAGTATAGACAAAATAAAAAAAAACGAATCAAAATATAGAGAACATTGAAATTATTTTGTACACTTTCTGGAGTAAAAAATATTAGTATTTGTGTAATGAATAAACTCAAAAACTACTGGACTTTTTTGAATAATTCTTTCACCATTAGAAAGCTAAATTATCACTTAATGTTATAAGATATTTATTATTAAAAAAACTAGTTTTTTTTTTAATTCTGCACATCTATACTATATAAAGAGGTAAGATTTGTATTTTTATATGTATTGAAATAACTCAAAAACTACTGGTCCTATATAAAGAACCCTTACCATTAAAAAGATATCGCTGAATAAAATGAGTTTTTTTTTTAATTTTAAGTGGACGAAGTTGTGAGCAATAGCTAGTAATATTTTACCTGTATATCTATTTCTATGTTTTTCTTTGGAGATATTAATTTTTCACATTCTGTTGATTTGATTTTATCTTTCTTCAAATCTTCTAGAACATTCTCAACTAAGTCACTGTGAAAAAAATGCGAAAAATGTACAAAAGTCTTTTTTTTTTTACTTTTTTAATTCAGAGAACATAAAAAAATATTTACTTGATAATTTTCTTCTTCACAATCAATGGTTTTGGTTTTCTAAATTTTTCATACATCAAATCAATTATTTTGGAATCCAATTCAAAATGTTCAATTTCAGTGATTTTTTCATACAAACCGTTTTCTAATAATTTTAAAGGCGATATTAGTGTTTTATCGATATTATTCAATAAATCAGGTTTAATAAAAGAATACGGTCTTTTAGGTGGTTTTAAATTTAATTCCATACGAGCCAAATTGATTTTATCAGCACCTGAAAATATAAAAGAAATTGTGTCTTTCCCCTTCCCATGAATCCTCCCCTGACAAAACCAGTAACCTGAATTCGTCGAATAAGCGAAAAAAATACCAATAAACAAAAAGCACAAACAGAAATTGTGTCTTTCCCCTTCCCATAAATCCTCCCCTGACAAAACCAATAACCTGAATTCGTCGAAATAGCAAAAAAATACCATTAAACAAAAAACACAAACAGAAATTGTCTTTCCCCTTCCCATAACTACTCCCCTGACAAAACCACTAAAACTAAATGAAAATGAGAATATTGTAAACATAACACATAGAAACAACTTAAAAGCACTTATTTCATATTAAAGTTACAGTTGGAGACCTAATTTCAGTACCTTTCCCTTTCCACCCTTTTCTTAAGAGATAAGGATGGGAAGGAAAAGTGTATTTGACGGTGGAGATGCATAGGAAGGGGAAATGTCCTCTTTATGTGCGTCTCCGTCAATGAAGGGTAGGCAGCGCTGCAATTGCGGATGTTTATGTGCAGCGGTCGCTTTACATTTTGCCATATTATACTATAAAAAAAAAATAGATCTATTTGTAATTTTTTTAGATATTTAAAAAAAAAATAAACATACCATCTTTATCATCTTCATTATTTGTATCAATGCGTTTCAAATTAAACGTATTAGAACTAGACGGCCTGGAAATAGAAAGTTTTATATTATTAGTAATACTGTTTAATAAATAAATACTGAAATTTATTAATTTCCAATAGCTCAAGTTTTAAGTTTAAATCAGTTAGTCGAGGAAATTAGTTTGTAGTGGCGGAAACTAGTCTCTCAGTCAAGGAAATCAGTTGAAGCCGAGGAAATTAGTCACTCAATCAAGGAAATTAGCCACTCAATCAAGGAAATTAGTCGCTCAACCAAGGAAATTAGCCACTCGATCAAGGAAATTAGCCACTCAATCAAGGAAATCAGTTTGTAGACGAGGAAATAAGTCACTCAGGCAAGAAAATTAGTTTGTAGTAGAGGAAATTAGTCACTTAGTCGAGGAAATATGTTTGTAGTCGAGGAAATAAGTCACTCAGTCAAGGAAATATGTTTGTAGTCGAGGAAATTAATCACTCAATCGAGGAAATTAGTTTGTAGTCGTGGAAATTAGTCACTCAATCGAGTAAATTAGTTTGTAGTCGTGGAAATTAGACACTCAATCAAGGAAATTAGTTTGTAGTCGAGAAAATTCGTCACTCAATCGAGGAAATTAGTTACTTAATCGAGGAAATTAGTTTGTAGTCGAGGAAATTAGTCACTCAGTCAAGGAAATTAGTTTGTAGTCGTGGAAATTAGTCACTCAATCAAGGTAAATTAGTTTGTAGTCAAGGAAATTAGTCACTCAGTCAAGGAAATTAGTTTGTAATCGATGAAATTAGTCACTCAGTCAAGGAAATTAGTCAGTCAGTGCCGACACTCAGACGGGAAATCAATGAGACAAGTAAATCAGGCAGTTAAGGACTCTAGAACGTTAGTCAATTAAGGAAATCAGTAAGTTATAAAGGGTAAATTAGTTAATTGGAGATTTCAGTCAATCATTAGGGTGTTCATTTAGGTTTTTACATACTTACCTATTATATATTCCTTTAGTTCGTCGCAAGGACATGCGACATGGCATCGCGGGGCCGCGTCTGACCGCTGGGGGGTGAGTTACCTCCCCCACTACAACTAAGGGATGAAATAAAATACTTTAAGATAAAATCTTACTAATATAAATGCGATAGTTAGTTAGATAAATAGATTTTTTTCATTGGCGGAGGAGACGCACATAAAGAGGACATTTACCCTTCCTATGCGTCTCCACCGTCAAATCCATTTTTCCTTTCCATGCTTTCCTCTTAAGAAAAGGGTGGAAAGGGAAAGAGGCTAAAGTTAGTCCTCCGGTACCACACTCATCAGACTGTATGCGGAATTGCTTCCACTTCACGGCTGTCTGTGTGATCGTGGTATTGCTGTGAGCTACAGTACGAAGATGTTAAAGCGGGCTCTACCACTGTTAAAGTAGTCAGTAGTCAGTAGTTTGTCAGTTTGTAGCTAAACTGCTTAAAGAATCTCGATGAAATTAGATGTAGAGGATAATCTTAAAGAACACATAGGATACTTGTGTTTTTATGCGAAATCGCAGGCGAAAACTAGTTTAATTTTAAACTTACCTGTTTCAATAGTTTTAGCTAATAATTCGATATCTTCAGGAGCTGCGGGTGCGCAAATTGTACAAATATATCTACTATTCTTGTTACTAATACAATTACTGCAATTGTCGTCGCAGTTATTGCATGCATCAGTTCGCATGCATATCTCATGCATGCCACTACTCCCGCATAATATGCACAACTTTATCTCCCACGATCTGGAATTATTTTAATCTATGTTAATTATTAAATTATTTAAATAGCGTCAGAAGTAGAGTCAGAGTTATTTTCTTATATTTTTTTATCTTAACCTATGACATTATGTGAAGTACATTGTATATTTAAGAGGGAACACTGGGGGGGGGGATCTTATATCAATATGGAAAACTAAAAAAAAGATGGGTCTTTCATTAAAAATTACTCATACCCTATGTCTCTTAATCAATATTCTCTTAAAAACAATTTTTTTTACTAGTTACCTCTTGCGTGTTTCCTATGAAATCAATTTGCCCATTTATAAAAAATCACCTATCCATTTACACAGTTCAATGTTCATTACTGTCAAAGTTATCCATTAATGAAAGTTTCCCATAATTGTCAGTTAACCAAAATTGTCTAAGTTACCTAATACTATCGAAGTTGCCAATTATTTTCAAAATAACCCAGTATTGTCGAAGTTACCCATTACTGTCAAAGTTACCTATTACTGTCAAAGTTACCCATCACTGTCAGTTACCTATTACTGTCAAAATTACCTATCACTGTCAAAGTTACATATTACTGTCAAAGTTACCCATCACTGTCAAAGTTACCTATTACTGTCAAAGTTACCTATCACTGTCTAAGTTACCATCACTGTCAAAGTTGTCCATCACTGTCAAAGTTACCTATAACTGTCAAAGTTACCTATCACTGTCAGTTGCTCATTACTATCAAAGTTACTCATAATAGTCAAACTTTTATGTCAGTTACCCATAATTGTCAAAGTTACCCATTATTATCTGTGACCCATTATGGACAAATTTACCAATTACCGTCAAAGTTACCGTTAAGTTACGTTACGTTACTGTTAAGTTATAATTGTCATTTATCCATAAATATCAAACTTACCCATTATTATCAGAATCATGTCCCCTACCCTGCGGGCAGCGGCACTGCGCCGCGTTGCAGCTGATTACTCTGTCATACATCTCTGAGAAAGCGCCGACCTCTAACTCCCATGACGCGTCCCTTTTGTAGACAAAGAGAAGGGTATTTTTGTAATGGGTTAACTCAAAAACTGGGGCGATTTCAATAATGTTTTCATTATTATTACATAATTTCTTTTACCATTGCCTCATTTTAATCTTCAAAAGAGAGACACAGAAAAAATGTCTTTACCCTTCCCTTACGTAAAAATAACAGTACAAAACCTACTTAAACACCCGAAATATTGTTACATTTCATGTTTTAATAATTATTGGAATCGGGATATCATAGGAAAATCTAAGCGTCATTGGCTCAGAGGTAAGCACTTGTAATCTACAGGTCTTAAGTTTGAATCCCGCTGTGTGTGATTATTGATTTTTCTAGTTTCAGATATACATAATTTACCGTATTTACTATAAAGAAAAACATCGTGATGCACATATAGGTAAAAAATTTGTGAAGTCTACTTTAGGGAAAGGTCCCCCCCCCCTTTTTAGAAAAAATTTACAATAGTTTCAATGGAAAATGAAACAATATCAAACACAAAAAAGATTATACAAGAACAAGTAACAGAAAATTAGAAATTATTATCTAAGTTGTTCAAGTTAATAATGAATAATGAGTAATGGCAACACTTACCTATCGGGAACGTAATATCCTTGTGTAATAACCGACTGTAGGAATATTTCTTTGTCATTACAAAGAGGACATTTCAAATAATGGATGCCAGCACTCAAAGCCATACGCTGTTGACAAAAACATATTGTTATAAATTTCGATACGAATGATTTTTTAAAAAATATGATAGCCGAGCTGTAATATATACCACCATATGTAATAATACCACGACCACACAGACAGGCGTGAAGTGGAAGTAATTCCGTGTTTTGTCTGATGAGTGTGGTGCCGGAGGACTAATAAAGTCCCTTTCTCTTACTACCCTTTTCTTATAAGGAAAAAATGGGAAAGGAAAGTGGATTTGACGGTGGAGATGCATAGGAAGGGTAAATGTCCTGTTTATATGGGTGGGGACAGATGAGAATAGAAAAAATTATCCATTCCACCTTTTGCGGCTAGGGGACGGTTGGAAATTATTATCATACGGTTCCATCTGTCACCTTATTGATGGTACTAAAAGGTGGGACGGATAATACTTTATACTTCCACGTGGGGACAGCGGGGTGACGGTTGAGAATAATCCGTTTTAAGGAATGTAAATAATAAAACAAAGTTTTCTAGTATACCTGTAAACAATTCCTATGAAACCATGCATCCCTCGCACAACAGGGTGGCCAGAAAGTATTAACAGAGGGTCCCGCATCAACTGCCTCATAGCATATTACACATACTTGTGTATCTGAAAATTAAACAGATAGAATCAAGTATTATCTATAGTAATATTATAAACAGGAAAGATTTGTATTTTTGTATGTATTGAAATAACTCAAACTATTGCGCCAACACACAAACACACATTCTAGCACATGCACACACCTACACCTACATACATACCTAACTAATAAGTTTTTATTATTAATTAATATGAAATAATGGCGAATTACTGAATCTATTTTGTTTTTTTGGATTTTGTTATAACATTACACAAATTAAGGGAAGTCATTGGCTCCTTTAATACAGGGGATTAACCTAGTAAAGGAGCCAAGGATATACATATAATTGAACAAAATACCGAATTTAAAATTAAAAGTAAAAAAAAGTGAGAAACGTATTTGTAAAATTATATTTGAATTGTGATATTGTATGTTTGTTTGTATAAATAAATAAATAAATAAAGATTTCAAAATTCTTTCAGAGTTAGAAAGGTAATTTATCTGAGTAATATAGGCTTATTTTATTATATTATAATTTAACGAGGACCAAGTCGCGAGCAACAGCTAGTATTAAAAAATAGCCTAAGTTACTCCTACAAACATAAACTAACTCCCAGTATAAGTCCAGTCAAAATCGGTGCAGCCTTTTCGGAGATTATTTAGAACAAACAAACAGACAAAAGAATCAATTGGTTTCCGTTACAAGTGTCGCATATACATAATGTTCACAAAATATGACTTTTTTAGTACAATACAGATGTTTTTTCTAAATTTTTTTCTCTAAGTAAATTAGTTACATTATTATAAAGAGATGGTAACAATCACATGCATCTAAAATAAATTAATATTGCTTTCTGTTGACAAAAAATGTATTTCCCCTACCCTGCCAACTGCCCACAATAGATATATTAATAAGAGTAAACAAACAGACTATCTTAATTCCTTCAATGTACATACCATTTACATGATTTATTTCCGTATTTTCCTCAACTATAGCTGTCTCTTTCACTTTAGACTTTCTCTGTCCTAATGTCCTTTCTCTGACTTTGGTCATTATTTCGCTATTGATTTTCTGTCTTGGTGCATGCAATTGACAAAAAGATCTGTAAAAAACCATGTAATAATGTAAAAATCTTTGTTTTTTAATAATATATACTTAGTATTTTCCTTAATTTTAGAAATACTGGTTTGGGAAAAACTGTAACCAACATTTTAAAATTATTTGTAATTTCGTGATCGTATAGAAAGAGAAAAAAGTACAGCATTTTTGTTAGCTACCATTTCGAACACCCTGTAACTCATTACTGAATAGACCTTTTTTTAAAGAACAAAGGTTTTTAGTGTTAATTCCTTTACTACAAACATTAATTATAAACATGACTGACATTGTTAATTATATACCTAAAAAGAATGATTAGTCAGGGGAGGGGACACACTAAAGATATTTCCTCTTCCTATACCCATCATACTAAGCAAAGATTGAGAATGTTAATACATTAGTGTGTTTTTATCTTGAAAAACTATTATTCGATAATGATTGGTAACAATACTTACTTATAATTACCATAAAACAGTGAAACAGCGTCCTTTTCCCTTCCACAAGGTAAATGAAATTGTTTCCTGCATTGTGTCACGGAGCACCCTAATGTAGCACCCTCTTTACCACAATACGAACATTTCTGTAATATCATAGAAGACTCATGAAAATTTTAAATTCACCTAACTAATTGTTTATAGGATGGAATGTATATCCTCTGGGGCAGTTGAACGGGATTATAACCAACCGTCACCCTGCTGTCCCCACGTGAAGATGAAAATAAAGTTTCATCCGTCCCACGTTGCGCGACAAGGGGTCAGTTGGTGCTTATTTTATTTTATGACGGTTCCATCTGTCACCTTATTGGTGATAGTGGGACTAAAAGGTGGGACAGATGAAAGTTTTTATTATCACGTGGGGACAGAGCGGGGTGACGGTTAGGAAAAATCTGTAAAATGATACTGGCAGTCAAATAGTTTATTGTAAATAAAAGTAACAAAACGCGGTGTGAAGGCGCGCAGGGGACGGACAAGTGCTAAAAGGGTCCCCTCCATGCAGCTTCCCCACTGAGTTGCAGGAGCACTGAACATTAATAGAAATGCGAAAGTTTAGATCTGACAGTTTGTAGCCTAAACTGCTAAACGGATCTTGATGAAATTTGTCTTTGGTGTAGAGTCTGTAACACATATAATAACTTTTTTTTAAATTCCATGCGGACAAGTTGTGGACAACAGCTAGTATTACATAAATAGCACTTACATGTTTTTTACTTCTCTCTATTTCAGCTGCAATATCAGGATATAAGAAGCCAAATAAACCTTCATTGTCTTTACCTTTTTGTATCAAACAGCAAGATAACAACTGAAACATTAAAAATAAAATAATATAGCGGTGATAACAAACTAATAGTACATGGAACAATATTTTAGGCACATTAGAAAATTCAAATACAAAATGATCAACTATACTTTGGATTGTAATGAAACTGGTAGTGTTCCAACTTAAAAACAATCTCTTTAAAACTGTGGCTTTCTGCACCTAACACTAACACCCTTACAAATAAATGTGGTATAAAGTCAAATTTAGAAATAAACTGAGTATAAGTAAATATTAGTACAAATTTTGCTTATACTTAGTTTATTCCTAAGTTTAACTTAATACCACATTTATTTGTAAGGCTGTAAGTGTACAATAATACATAACTCTGAGATCATTATACATTTCTATAGAAAAAAGTCATGTTTTTGTATTGTTCCTTGTAATATATTTATTTATACACAATCTCCTCAGCCCAAAGTTAAAGGTAAATTATGGCATACATTTGGCAATGACTTGACATATCTCTCTGTTCTATATTAGTGATGGGAGTCGAGTTGCTTTTTACTCGAGTGACTCAAGTCATTTTTATCTTACTCGGACACAAGTGAAACTTTTGACAACTCGAGTTGACTCAAATTACGAGAGACTCGTAACCACTTTGTTGGTTTATACCAAGCGGAGTAAGAAATTCTTACAGCAATTTCAGTTAAATTTGTTATCTTTTTAAAATTATACTATTTCTGTTCTTTTGTTGAGTTTATTTAAGCTTCATTTAAGTTAATTTTAAAAATGTTATTATTATCTTAAAAAATGTTTATTAACTAGATTGTAAGAACATAATAAAACTGTTCATATTTGGATCTCATGAAAATTACTTGTTAGAATTAATTAAAATGGATAAGAACTTATTAGTAGTACACTATATAATTTCAACTAATAGTTGATATAAGAGGTTTCTTGATTATGTAGACAGGTTTAGTTCAAAGGAAAATACTATTTTTACACATTTTGTAGATTTTTTGAGTAACTTTTACGTTAATGCGAAAATGATTTTTTTATGTTAAATTAACATTGTTTTATTGGTTTTAAAATCTTCACTCGAGTGGCATTCGAGTGAGAAAGTTACCAGTACCGAGTGACTCGAGTGAAAAAAAAATCACTCGAGTCCAATCACTAATTTATATTCATACATTACAAATGCATATCAGTTTTTTTTCGTCTAAAAACACCACAATGTTAATAAAAGATTAATACTTACGACACAGAAATAATGGCAGTAAATATCACCGATTACATACAATTTGCCGTAAATAGTTTCATCGTCAATATTACGATTACAAAATGAACAAGAACCAATATCATCAGCGGCTAACTTAGCTAAGAGTAAATGCTTTTTAGTTTTGCCACCCTTTTTACAAGACATATTTGCTTCCTATTACAAGTCCACGATTAAAATGTTGTATAAATTGCCATTTTAATATGAAATACAATCTTAAACAAATTCATAGTAAACACATATTAAACTAATAACTAAATTAATTGCTACAATACAAAAGTACAAAACATAAAATATTCTTATGTCAAAATAAAGCGGGAATACATACCATAAACGTCACAGACATTTTATTTCCGTTCGGAAATATGAAAACTATGTTTAAACATTTTTCATTTCTTCATAAATTTAGTTGATTAATTAATTAATACGCAGTAATAATTACGCACCTGAAATTTTGTTTATTTAATTCACTTTATTTGAAAATCAATAGACAAGATCCAACGTTTTTAATAACATCCTTCCAACTCAATTTTTATCAATCGAAAATCATTTCCTTTGTTTCACAGGAGCAGTAAAAGTGTGCTTTAGTACTGAACTTACGCCTAAAGTGTTTAATATCCTTAATGTAAGTCGAATAACAGTACGTAATACATTTTCCTACTTGTTAATCTCAAACAACACATTTAACTTCGCGAAAAGAGTATTAATGTGTTGCCTCCGGAAAGTGGTTTTTCATTTTAAAATTATGAGCAATTAACGTCAAGCAACACTAAATTTAAAATGTCAAAAAACTTGCAATAAAAAAACACCGCAAATGCTATTGTGATTTTAATTTAGTTTTTAGTGTTATTTATGTTATTGTTGAATTGTGCTCTTTAAGAGTGCAGGAACCATTTATTATATCTAGTCTTATTTATACACATAGTTAAGCAATTGACATTCTATAAATGACTTGTGTGCCATTATTTGATTGACGACCCTTTGTTTTTAAATACAAGAAGTGTCGCAACGTTGAAGGAAAATTTTCGATTTCAACATTTAAGAATTGAATAAATAATTACATACTTTAACAGTGGCACAGTTAACATCGTTTCCAGCATAATATTTGGTCAAATCCCGCCATTTTTACATTGCCACTTTAGTTTGCACATATTAGTGTACAAGATGTTAAAGACGATTAAAGTATCTCGTTTTAATTATATTATTTCAATAGAAATGGCCAACAAATAAGAATACTATAAGATTCCAATTGGAAAAAAAATGTCGACCGTACAAGATGCTGTTTGGTCGAAAACTCCCGGCGAAACACTCAATCCTAAGGAAAAATGTCGTAATATTACTGAAGAGATATATAAAAGGATAAATATAACTTTTCAAATCAAAAAACTTCAAACTGGATCACAAAGTGATATATCAGATTGTAGGTAAGAATGTTTTTCATATTTTAAAAAGCAAAATAAAAAGGAAATCATCTACTTTCTGTACCTCCCCTATTACAGGCTGTGGCTTTCGTTATGAAGTAAAATGCAATAACCATGTAGCATAACCTACAAGCTTTTGCTCGCAACTGCATTTAATAAAATATAAAAAAGCAAGTAGTCTTTTTGTCTTACTAAACTAATGTCTACATTTATGACAAATTTCATCAAGATCTGTTCAGCAGTTTGGGCTACAAACTGTAACAAACATTCATCTAAACTTTCTCATCTTACTAATAAATGCGAAAGTTTAGATGGATGGATGTGTGTTAGTTTGTAGCCTAAACTTCTAAATGGATCTTAATTAAATTTGGCATAGAAGTAGAGAATAATCTGGAAGAACACTTAGACTACATACTTTTGTTAATTTTATGTGAACAGAGTCGCAGGCGAAAGTTAGTTTATGATATTAGTAAGATAGAAACATAATTTAGTACAAAAAACGTGAGACTTGAAGCTCCCGAAGGGATTTTTAGTGGTAAATTCCCTCCTACTTCGTCTTTCAGCGATCAAAGATCTATAAACAGCAATGAACTCAGTAATGAAACCGATCTGTTTGCCTGCGATAAGAGCTCCCTATCCAGTAGTACTGACCAGGAAAGAGCCATCAGCAAGTGTGAGAAATACATCAATAATAATAACAACGAAGAAACAAAACTCAATAAGCCAACTCCAGTTTACAAGAGACCTAGGAAACGGTGAGTACTACCGCTACTTGAATTTTTGAACATTTTTGAATACTTAACTATACTAATATAATAAAGTGTAGACACACTACTTATGTAGGATGTCAGTAATCACAGTTTATTTTTGATTAATTCTTTTTTCTCTCAGCGCCAGTCCCTAAGAGTGTTTTAAAAACACAATTTTTTTGTTGGAATGTGTTTAAAACTACATGATCTTACTAATGTTATAAATGCGAAAGTTTAGATGGATGGATGTTTGTTGGAGTTTGTAGTCTAAACGGCTGAAAAGAATTTGAAATGTGGCATAGACATAGAGGACAGTCTGGAACACATAGGCTACTCACTTTTGTTTTTTTTTAATTCCACGCGAATGGAGTCGCGTGCGAAAGCTAGTATATCATGTATTGTTTTTCACACCCTTTTATTCCCTTTTTTCTTTGGATTTCTATCCATGTGTCATTTAGATACATGTGGCTTGGGAAATAGTTCATTTCAAATTGCCACAAAACACAGAGTTCCAGACACTATGACAAAAAGATACACCTAAGGTGTTAATAAAAATCCTTACATTTACGACGTGGTATAGGCTAAGTATTATCATGCTATTTAATTTATGTAAATAAATTGAAGATATATACTGGTTTCTGTCTATCTATTTAGCTGCTATACAAAATTCCAATCTTTTATTACTTTTAATTATCTTCAATATTGTTGTTCTTGCGAAATCATCGAAATAATAATGAGGCGCACTATTTAGTAAAAGAGAGAGAAGGAAATTGAAAAAAAAAAATTATATAGGGACAAAAACTTATATAGGGACTAGCTTTTCCCATGCGACTTCATTCGCATTAAATTATGAAAATTGTTGTATTGATTATATTTGTCAAATTCAATTGCAAATGTCAATATGACAGACATGATATGATGACAGAGCATAGCAATTTTGCTTCCTTGATGTTGGCAGCAAATTATGGTCTCTTTCCCACATTAGGGTTTTTATCCAAAATATTTACTACCTTAGTTTAATGGCGTAAAAATATATAGCCTAAAGCGTGACGTAAGCGTAGGGCTTTTTATTAAAAAAAATGTTATACAAAAATATGGTGTAATTGCTGACATCTTAGGCAACAAAGAAGTGTGTGTTTACACTTTATTATAATAGCATAGACAAGATTGCTGGGAACAAATCATTAGTCAATAGCAAAGGCCTTCATTGACGAATGATCCAAACGGACATGATAGATTTAAACCTTGACGAACAAGCCTCTAAGATTCGTGCTGTCTGGAGACTTAGGACGAGGAAATCCGACCCCAAATAACTGGAAAAGAGGAAGACAGAAGCAAAGGCCTTCATTATTGTGCATTTAAAATACATTAGCTATTGAATGTTACCTATAAGCTGCAGGAAAACATTTTAAAGGTGTTTAGCTTGAAAATCTTTTTTTCAGATTCAGGAAGCGTGTAAAGAAGCACCAGTCAAATAAGACGATAACTGACAGTGACTGTTCCAGTGATGAAGCGATACCACTCAGCCGAGTTGACTTTGACACAAGGAATAGTCAAAGTGAATCACCTGACAGTATAATGGGTGTGCCTAATATTGTTATTGTGGCTAAAGGTAAATCCGACTTGAAGGACCATTTTTTTCTTTGAGTAGTTTTAGTGAGGTTTTTTTATGTTTGGTACATAAATGTATAATCCTAATTCTTACTAGGGTTATATGCGAAAATTTTAGATGGATGTTACAGTTTGTGGCCTTAATTGCTGAATTTTAAAATTTTCATAGATGTAGAGCATAGTCTGGAAGAACACATAGGCTACTTTTTATCCCGGGATTATTTACGCTTCCCTTGGGATTTATTAATTTAGTTTTTTAATGTTTACTCGATCATTTTGCAACGGTTCAGCATATCTTATTGAAATTTGTCACAGATATAAAACAAAGTGTGGAGTACACATGGGATAAGGTTCATCCCCGAGAAATGTCCGGTTCCCGGGATACGTAGATTTTTGTTATTTATATAGTTCGTATGTTTTCTAATACCACGCGGACGAAGTCGCGGGTATCGGCTAGTATTTTATATAATTACTTTTATTGAAACTATTATCGTTTCATATTTTGAGACCATATTTTCTTCTAGATTCAAAACAGAAACCCAAATCAACACAAAAGTATCAACAGAACGAAAATAAACCAAGTAAATCGGTGCCACAAGTTAAGAATGTTCCTATAAAACCCAGTGAGAAACCAATACCAGACCGTCAGCTATGGAATCAATGTTCGCTTTGCAGTTTATCATTTCGCGGAGAAAGAGGATTGAGGTAAGAATTCGCCCATTTGTCGAAATTGTATCTTACTAATAGGGGCGTTAGGTTAGGAAGAAGGGGCGTCCAGGGCGTTTAAAATGAGCGTATGGAAATCTTCTCGTCCTTTATTCTTTGTAAGGGTTTGTTTTAATGTTAAAGGGCGGTTCAGAAATCGCCTAGGGCTAAAACCACTAGAAAAGTACTTATATTACTAATATTCTTAGTAATATTATAAATGAGAATGTGCTGGATGTTTGTATCCTAATCTGCTGATCAGATCTTGAAGAAATTTGTCATAGATTTAGAGGATAGTCTATAAGAAAACATAGACCACTTTTTATTTATTTCTTCCATACCACGACGAAGTCGCGGGCGAAAGCTTGTAATGTCCTTAATGGGAAAGTTTGTTTGGAAGTTTGGTATTATCTATGCTTCTATACTAATATAATAAAGCGTAAACACTTCTTTCTTGCCTAAGATGTCGACAATCACAGCATGTTTTCGAATAACTCTTTTTTTAATAAAAATCCCTACACTAAGGTCACGCTTTAGGCTATATATTTTCACGCCGTTAAACTTAGGGGTAAATATTTTGAATAAAACCCCTAATGTGGGAAAGAGACCATAAGTTGTTGCCAACATCAAGGAAGCAAGGTTGCAATGGTTTGACATCATGTTATGACATTTACAAATGTGAACAATAAAATGAAATTTTTATAATTTAATGCGGATGAAGTCGCATGGGAACAGCTAGTATATCTCTATGGATCAACGGATCTTGATGAAATTTGCCACAGATCTAGAAATAAGTCTGGAAGAACACTGGCTACTTGCTAATGTTTTTTTTTTAATTCTGCGTAGACGGAGTCGCGGGCGGTATCTAGTTTGTTTTATGTTTCAAATTAATGTTTTATTTCAGACGTCATATGACAATGTCTCATATTGAATCTGAGGAAATAAAGAAGCAAGAAAAAGACACGAAATCAACTTAAGGTAACACTTGATATTGTAAAATAGTTCTTATTGCAAAGCAATAAAGTCTAAAATGATGGTTTTACAACTTTAACATTTGTCTAAAACATTTTTACAATTTCTTAAAGTGTTTGAGTAAATTTAGCTATAAAATATGGTTTATTTCAGTTTAAAAATTGTTGATTCACTTATTAAATTTGATTATCTTTGTTTTTAAATTTGTGACGTTTAAATGGCGCCATAAAAACAAGATGGCGCAGGCGTCACTTGAGAATTGGCGCCGAAATAAAGATTTATGATTTAAACCATTTTGAGGTTACATAAGTTGTAGTGTTACATAAGTCTTAATTTTGTTTTTAATTCTAATTGGAATGATGTAATTGTCTATGGTCCATCAATGTCCTCCATAGACAGAAGTTTAAGGGAGAGTAAAAAGATGTTAGTAAGTTATATATACAATTTGTTTATATTATTTAATTGAGATATGTATGTCATTTATTATATACAATTATAGTTAATATCTTTATGGATTTGAATAATGGGAAGGGATAGATAGGATATTGGGATGGTTTTGGAAAAGGTTGCCGCTACAAAAAAATGTTTAATTAGAAAATGTTACTAAATTACTTTAATCTTCTCACATAATAAAATAATAACTTAATTAACCAATTTAAAAACTTAATTAATTTATGGACTTTTGATTAAAGATTTGAAATTAAGAAATAATAATTGGCATCTATGAAATTAGTAGCGGCAACGAAGTGTCAGGGTTTAAAAATCTGTGATCAGTTGGCATAATGTGATCGTAGAATAGATTGGAAGATCTAACCATAGATTGACTTTGTTCTTCATTTTATGGAATTTTATAATCTGTTAGTCTTTGACATTCCTTTTAAAAGATTCCTTTGATTATTTACATGGAAATTTTTGTTATCAAAAATATTTAGAATTTTCCTTTTTTTAATGCTATCAAAATCGTTTTAAAATCTCTTGAAACTATAGTACCTAATAAAATTCTGTGAAGTCTAGAATCAAAGTTTTAATCTATGGTGCGATGGGAAAAAAGGGGGGAATAATAATCGGCCGTTTTTCAGTACAAAATTTTATTACAAATGGTAATTTTAAAAACTTAGGATAAATGTGATTTTTAAAATAATTTCTTCGTAGATTTGTGGAAGTTTTCATTGTCGTAAGGATTTGTCTATGCAAAGAATGTTGCAATATTAAATATTTTGTTTGCAATATGTTTTAACGCTGCTGCGTTTCAAACTTGGTGCTAATGTTTGTTTTTAAAAATTGTTTGTATATATTTGAAAATTATATCTTGCCAAAATTCGTCTTTCAAAGCTTAAAGCCTCGCTTGTCACCAATACAGGGTGATTCTTAATGGAAGTTAAGTTGTGTAAGTAACCTTAATAACTATACTTTAAGCTTAAAGTTGCCCAATTTTCTATAGTTAAAAAAATATATATTTCAAGATTTTTTTTATTATTTTTTATTTGGTTCTCATGTGATGTATTCGAAAAAGGCATAACGGAACGTAAGTAGAATTATTAGGCTTCTTTAAAAGAATAAAAATGTCCACTGTAAGTACATTATTTTGGACAAATTAAATCACTTAAAAACTACAAAAAATCAGACATATTTTGCGCTCAAATGGTAGCTAGAGGTCCCCTACTTCCGTAAAGCTTGCGAAGCGTCCGTTAAGAATCACCCTGTATATGTTATATAGTGTTTGTCTGTTTGTAGAATAACTACTTATCCATTTAAATGAAAAAAATAGTTTAAAAGTTCAAACTTTTTAAATAAGTAGTGTAGATAGTAAAATTTAAAACAAATATTGTTGTCTAAAATTAATGCGAAATTGAATTTCAAAAATTATTTTTAACAACTATAGCCTGACCAATGACATAAATTACTTTTCCATACTTATATTAGAGAATTAATCTCTTTGTCAATGTAAAAAGCAGATAAAAATTACTCCAGGAGAGGATTTCTTGGTCAGGCTATACAATTTTTATTGGAGTTTTTATTCATTCGCATATCAAATAATAAAAAAAAATCCGATATCTAGATATTAAGGGCCTAATATGTTTGTTTGTACAGTGCTCAAAAAAGTTCTCGTAAAAAATATATTTGTTGCTTGTTCAGGGAAAGGTTTTAGGTTAGTTTTATAAATAGATGCCACACGGGCGTTGCGATTTCCAAATATGATTCTTTCCAAATAAAAAAAAAAGTGATTGCATTTTCGTGGGCGTAGCTAGCAGACAGTATAGGGTGGGAAGCATGCTGTTTATTAAGGGGGAGATAGCAATGTTTTTAAAATATGCTAAAGAAAATGGTTTTTTTTTAATGAAAACGTGACTTTGTTTTTGAGTAATCTGTGAGTCCCCAGGGATTGTAGAAACCGTATTATTTTGTATATTATAGATTGTAGGAGGGCTGCCCCCTCTTCCATCGCCCACGTCTGGCCTTTTCCCTATCAAGGGTAGCACAAAACAGGATAACTTGCTCATATTTACGATTAGGAGCACTTTTTTAGAATGATAATAATACCGTTATGAATTTGTCATAACGTTATACTTTACCGTGAATTTGTGTATTAGGTTAGTGAAACGTTACGTTAACGCAACGACGCCGCACCGCCCGTATGGCATATATCTTATTTCACTTATAATTAAGGACAGTCAAGTAGTAAAGTTTGTTGAAATGTTTGATCTCTTTACGTGTCATCGGTATTGGTGCAATGTGTTGCCATATGTACAGAAATTTTATTGATATTTAAGTTGATTTTTGCTTACGGTTTTTATTGCTAGATATGCTTATATTGAAATAGTTTAACTAAAGGAGTTCCTTAGATTTTTAATTAAAAGGTGACAAATAAGTGGCTAAATAAATTTGCCAAAATAGTGAAGCGACGAGAAATATTCAATTAAAAAAAATGCTGTAGTAATTGTTTATTTTAATAGTTTTTCCCGATGGTTCGTTCGGAATATTTTTCCTATTGTGGAATGAGGTAACACTCGTTTTTAGGTATTTATGAAAACTGTCAAATCGCTTCTATTGAAAAAATATCTCTATGGTCTTTAGAAACGTCAGATTGTTTTATATGACAGTTGTTTTGGCGCGAAATGTTTTGTTTTTATGGAGATGGCATGTTAAAAATATTGCCATCGTTAGACACTAGTCGAAATGTGGCGGAGGAAATATTTTGTTGTTTTGTTATGGAATTGATGTTTCTCTTTTAAGTTATAATAAAGAGGTTTATTGGACTTTTTGCTTTTTTAAAAGTTTTTTTTTATTTGATTACGTCTTGGAAATGACTTTTTTTTTTAATTTTGCAGATTAATGTTTCGTCCAATAAACTTCTTTCAAACTATAGATTTCATATATTTCTAGTCTATACTTTGTTTCTATAAGTTTGTTTATAATTATCGAATGTGGTGGTTGAAATAAAACATCTTGTCGAATTGTTTGTTTTATTTTTTAATAATTAAACCAAAAAACCTAAGTTTAAATGTTAAATAAACGATATATTTTTTATACATGTACATTTTTCTAGGTTTAATAATGGGGGATTTTTTTCTTTAAGTTGGTACTGATTAGAGTTACCAATAAATAAAATTCTTACAACAATGTCGAAAATAATTGCCATATATAGGATTAAGGGGTAAAGGAATTTTGAAATAAAAGAACCATTTATAGTTAAAATAACTTAAAAAAATTTACACATATATTTAAAACATTACGCAATTTTCTCGTCAATTATAATTTTTAATCACTTTCAGTATAATTTTCTAACCTATTTGACTTAGCTGTATGTAGAACATGTAATAATTCAGATGTCGGTCTTAAAGCTCCTTTACTTACTAAAGTTTTCAAAGTTTTCGCTATATCTTGACTTGATAAATGAGCTTTTATAGTTATAATTCTATCGTCTACTTTATTAAAGAACTTTTTAGCTGTATTTATATGTAAATCTGTCAATAAAGGTGGATCTGGTCCTAATATTGTGTTCACGTAATGTTCGTCATATGCCTTATTGGTGTAATCTATACCAGTTTTAGTGATTACTGGTACGGGCGAGTATTTCGGTATTTCAGTCATATACCCGAGGTTTTCATCCCAACCGCCGTGGATACGAAGCAATGATGGGATATGTCTACCATTTAAATTAGCGTCAGAAAACGTTTTATATCCTAAACCTGGAATAAAACAGATTTATCTAAAAAAAATTTAAAACAATAGCAGCAAAGAGATTCAAATAACATATAGAGGAGACATACACTTCACTTAAGACAATTTACGAATAACCCACTATCTCTATTAATAGATCCTAAAACTATATGTAAATATAATTCACTAGCTTTCGCCCGCGACTTCGTCTGCGAGGAATTAAAAAAAAACAAACTTATTAGCCTATGTGTTTCCAGACGAGTTTCTACATTTGATCCAAATTTCATCGAAATCCATTCAGCAAGGCTATCTCTTAATAGATCCTAAAACCATATGTAAATATAAAACTAGCTTTCGCATGCGACTTCATCTGCGAGGAATTAAAAAAAACAAATTTGTTGGCCTATGTGTTTCCAGATGAACCTATTTGTAACAAATTTCATCGAAAACTGTCGCATTTACAATATTAGTATGATTGTATTTAAAATTAATTACTTTTAAGTGTCACTAAATCATGTTATTTTACAAAAGAGCTTATTGTGATTTAGTAAAATGTTTTTTTACATACCAATACTAAACATGACATGATATGGTACTTTTCAGAAAGTACCAGTGAAATAATTACGTCTCATCTATGTATTATTTAAATGTCTTTGTAAGCAACACATATATTATTTCCAGTATTCAGCTGTTTAAATAAAGGATAACTTACCTACAACACAGGCTTGTAACACTCCATTAGACTTAACAGAGCTGACCAGAGCTACGGGAAGGCCGAGAGGCATAGCTAAGTACAGCGGAGCACTGCACCTTACTTCAGACTTCAGTTGTACACTCACAAACACTAGGTCACCTATTTGGACTGTTTGGACCTACAAAATACAATCTTGTTAATATTACAATAACTTTCGCCCTTAATTCTTGTCTACATTTAAAAAAGTAAGTAGTCTATTAATTACTCCAGACAACCACCTACATCCAAATTTATTCAAGATCCATTCAGTAGTTTAAACCTTTATATATTTATTGCATTTATAAATTACTAGCTGTTGCCGTGCAATTTCATCAGCATAAAATTATTTTATTGTTAAAATGTGTCAAATTGTCAATTGACATGACATGACAAAACTTGGCAACCTTGCTTCCTTGATGTTGGCAGCAACTTATGGTCTCTTTCCCACATTAGGGTTTTAATCCAAAATATTTACCCCCCAAGTTTAATTGGCGTGAAAATATATAGCCTAAAGCGTGACGTAAGTATAGGGCTTTTTATTAAAAAAAGAAATCAAAAATATGCTGTAATTGCTAACATCTTAGGCAACAAAGAAGTGTGTGTTTACGCTTTATTATAATAGTATAGATAATGTCTCAAGTCCCTAGTTTATAACACATGTAATGCATATCTGTTGCATTAAAGAAAATGTAACTACCCAACGAGAATGTGCAGGGTTCTTACAAACCAAAAGATTTAAGAACCTGAAGAAAAAAAAAAGAAGCAGCAAAGACAACATCCATCCATCTTTTGCATTTATATTAGTATTTCTGTATATTTACACACCTCTGGGCTCTTATTCTTGCCAATGCGTGCAGTTGTCAGCGCATCAGCCAGTCTCTCTGGCAACTCATCTGGCTCCCAGGGCTCCGTTAATGGCTCTTGTAAGTTGATCACATGCCAGATACGACTTTGAATTGCTACCACTAAAAGAATATACAAATGTGAATAAATAACACTAGGAATTGAATAGACTTGATAATTAAATGCCTGTTTAAACCAGTGCCCTTTGTATTTGGATATATTCATTTCCAAATCTTATTATTTGAGTAGCTGTTGCTCATAACATCGTCAGCTTGTAATAAAAAAAGTAAAGATGGCTTATGGCACTCACTGGTAACATAGCTTATTAATGGTGCAAAGAATTTTTATTTATTATCTATACACACAAGAGCGTCGGTGGCTCAGTGGTTTGAACACTTGACTTGTAATCTACAGGTCTTGGGTTCGAACCCCGCTGTACCTGTGATTTTCGAATTTTCGAATTTTCATATGTACATAATTTACCCGACGTTCTTACGCTGAAGGAAAACATCGTGATGCAACCTGCACATATCGGCGAAGAAATTCAAAGATATGTGTGAAGTCAACCAACCCGCAGTGCAGAGTGGTTAACTATGGCCTAGTCACCCCATATTAGGGTAGGCTCCGAGCCCCTCAGTGGGGACGTATAGTGAGCTGGTGATGATGATGATGATGATGATGATCTATACACACATTTTAAAAAGGTAGGATGTGTATTTTTGTATGTATTGAAATAGTTCAAAAATTACTGGACCGATTTCTAAAATTCTTTAACCATTAGAAAGCTATATTATCGCTGAGTAACATAGGCTTTTTTAAAATTCACATAGACGAAGTCACGAGCAATAACTAATGTTGTATATGTAAAAAGTTTACTTACTCTGCAACTTCAACTTAGCAAGGATCTCATCGACTGTTAACGCTGGTAGATTCTTCGCGACCTTCCTGCAGATTATCCTCGCGATACTCGCTGATGTCATCGACATACGAGCACTGCGTATTGCTTTAGCCATGTCACGCCAGCGGACACCGAATTCTGGTAATAACGTTGTACAACACAACTCTCGTGGCATTCTACTCATTAGTCTCTCTAGTTCATCTAGTTCTGGAATAAAGATTTTAATATGCTTTTAAACTTGCCTTTTGTTAAGATAAAAACAAAATTATTTATGACGAAATAACAGTAAAACTTTAACTTTACTATATAGGTGATACAACTGATTCATATTGATGATTTGTACTCACGCATTTTGGTGGCGTTACTCATTTCCTTTTCTATGTTAATTACTAATTAAAACGGAAATTAATACAGTTTCAGCACATTTAAGTATCGCAAAAACAAAAATAATTAAACCGTTATGTTTGATTTTTCGAATATTCAAAGATTCAAAGTAAATGTCATTTTGACATTTACATAGATGAACCGCGAACCAAAGAGTATTGAACTACTTAACGTAAAAAGCAAGTTATAGATTAAAAATAATATTGAACAAAATGGCGGGATTTATTCAAAATGATCCTCTTGTTATTAAAGCCATGGTTAAACTATAAGTATTGTATTGTATATAGCAACATAAGTGCAACTAAATTATAATAGCTCACTAGTGCCTTCCCATTATGTTCAAACTAAACCAATACCAGCGCTTATCTCACCAGGACCAGAATAGAAATTCTTGTTTAACTACACCTTGAAAATTGCCCATCATTAAGTGTAACAGTTAGATTAGGTGATAGAGTTTGAGAACAAAGATCTCTTATGCAAACCATACGCGAGTAGGACTTAGGGTTTTTAATGTTGATGAAATGTGCAAGTCAGACTTAACATTATTGGACATAAAAATAGCAAGTACACAGTCAGGCGAAAATCGATTGTTTCTCAGCAAATTTAACTGTTTAGTTGCACAACCAAAACACTACTCGAAGTGTACATTTTGATAAACAGTTTTGCGATAGTTTGGGGTGCGCGCGCTTTAATTTTCTAGAACTTGCTAAACCAATTCAATAATTAACGTGCTAATTCGCTGTTACTGTTTAGCCTTCAGCATTATAAGAGTATATTTGTAAACAATTAGACAAATAAAAGTCTTCAAAATGTACATCTTTTTATTATAATTAACCATACAAACGAATAATCTATTGGTACGTACAAAATAACATGTAATATTAAAATACATATACATATTTAAACTGAAACATAATTTACCTTAAAGTTGACTAATACAAATTATTTTTAACTATAATTACAAGTACAATATTTCCGAACGAACATCGATTTGTCTTAATGAGAACAAATTACCGCCAATCCAATATACTTCCGGAATATTTTCATGAAAATATGAAAAAGTTAGAAAGATATTACAACATTTTAGTCAAAAATTTAGGTTTTTTTATTTATTATCGTGATTCTCTTCTATAAAGATGGAAAGTGTAAAAACATTGAAAAAAAACAATTAACTACCATAATAGATTAAACATTTTAATTAACATCCTTCGACCACACTTTCACTTAGTTTAGGTGGAATTGTAGTCAAGCGCTGGTTTTATATTTTAAAAAAACAACTATACATAAATGAAATAAAAAAAATGTAAAAACCTAACCATATCACCAAAGGTACTGATTAACTGTTTTAAAAAAGAAGTATTACAAGATTCAAACTTTATGATGGTGTGAAGTCACTTTTTTACTAACAGGGAGTCAGCAAAATGGCGTAAATAAACAATACCACGGTTTTAACATGTATATGTAATTGTTTCCTCAATGTGTGTAAAGAATTAAATGTCATATAGTAAACCAATGTAATATATGTAAACCAGCTTTCGCCCGCGACTCCAACCACGTGGATTTAAAAAACAAAAGTAGCCTATGTATTTTCCAGCTTTCGGCTACAAAGATCCATGCAAACTTTCGCATTTATATAGAGATTTCAAAATTTAAGAATTAATATATTACAATCGTTTTCTTGTTCTTTCACTTCATATTTATATTCTTTTGGTCTTGATATTGTAAGCTCTTTTTTTATTTCCGGTGTTTGAATCTTTGGTATTTCATCCTTTATAAGAATTTCAGTAGTGACATTTGGTATCGAGATATTCATGATTTGTTTATCGACATTGGATTTCTTTTTATGTCTCGGTGGACCAGGTTCCGATAACTGTTCAACAAATACTTTGTAAGAGTCAGCGAACGAAGAAGGTGATTCCAATTGTTTCCTATTCAATTTTAATGTATCATCTTTATTTGATTTTTTATCTGTTGTATCTTGAGTTTTTTTTAATTTTGAATCTGTTGCATCTTCTGGAGTATCAATGGCTTTATTTTCTTCAGTGTTGCCTTCATTTATCACACGCATTATCTCTTCTTGTGCCAAAGAGTATGAATTGACAATTTTAATTACTGCATTATCTTTGACGTTTGCTTCATCTTTCTGATACATTCTTGTTTTAAATCTTTTCGTCACAGTTTCAGCTATTTTATCGTTTGATACATTTTTTCTTTTACCTTGATTGTCTATATTTAAAAGTCCCGTAATATTATTTTCCAATACTAATTTCATTGACATGAATTTTTTTTCATCTACCTCATTACTGAAAACTGTAGTCATATCTAAAGCTTTTTTTAATAATATTTTCATTTGATCAATTCTAATTTTAGCAGCATCTTCAATTATTGCATGCATTAATTGTTTGAATTGATGGTAGATTTCCGTTTCCGTCGTCTCATCGATTTCTGTATATGCTTCTTCATTTTGTATTAACGTGGACAGAGTAAATTTCTTATATTTATCAGGTAAATCGTATTTACCACATTTATGTCCGTAATGGTTCTTATAAAAATGTACTTGTATACCTTTTGGTAATTCTTGTACTACGATACAAGATGGACATATGTATGGAGTAACATCGTCATTAACATCAGACGGTATGCACGGACAACGCAACATTTGTTTACTATTATTTTTTTCCATTACATATTTTACTCCGGTCTTTTTCATTACATCATCCTTCCATGATAGGTACACTGTGAATGATAAAAATTATACAATTATATTAACAGTTATCTTGTTTTTACGGAAAAAAAAAACATTACTAAGAGCCTGTCCCACCAAATTGTAAAAAACAATCCAACATGTAAAATATGTGATACAAACATCAGATTTTGTTCCTTTATCGGTCAATGATGTCATTTTTAAGCTATCTGAGCTATCAGCCAGTGGTGGGACAGGCCCTAAGTATGCTAATTCAGACAGTTATCTATCTCTGTGTGAAATATCAAGATCCATTTACCCTTTAACTGGATCTATTAAAAAGAATTCTTTTAGAATAACTAAAAATATTTTTGACTACTAGTCATATTCCCCCTTCCTAGATCATCTGTCTGCCCCCAGTCATTGGTTGGAACCATCTATAGTAGTCAATATTTTTTATAACATACTAACTTAGGCCACGACTCTGTCTGTACAAGTAAAAAATAAACTATCTAGTGGCATGTGTTCTTCCCGACTATGCTCTACATGTGTTTATCTAAACTTGCAAAGTTATAATAAATAAAATTGTTAATATTAATCATATTTAAATAACATTGGGCATGAATTGCGGCATGGATGGATCAGTGGTTTAAGCACTTGACTTGTAATCTACAGGTCTTGGATTCAAATACCGCTGCACCAATGTGATTTTCGATTTTCTCATCTGTACATTTACCGACGTTCTAACGGTGAAGGAAAACCTGCATATATCAGCGGAGAAATTCAAAGATATGTTAAGTCCAACCCGCATTTGGCCAGTATGAACTGTGGCTTAGTCACCCAAACTTAGGGTAGGCTCCGAGCCCTTTAGTGGGGACCTATAGTTGATGAATATGATGATTTTAAACAACATACCTTCATTTGTTGGGAAGAACATGCTTTCAACTCCATCACAATGTAAACCAGATACATGAACATCGAATAACCTCAAACTTTGGAATTGCTCGTTACATCCCATGCAAATATACTTCGATGTAAACGACGATTCATCGAATTTATACGTCGTACATTTATGATTCTCTAATGATTTTGGCCGTCGGTTACATTTAACACAAATCAAAATTACATTGGGCTTTATTATGTTTGGAGAATTTGGAGACCTGAAAAAATATACTAAAATTGCATTCAAACAGCTTAAGACGCTTGGAGTTAAAAAAACCCAAATGTGCTTGTGTTCTTCTAGAGCAGGGATGGCAAACCACTGGCATGTGATCCATAAATGGCACACTATATTGGGCATGTCAATAATCATAAAAACACTATGAAAAAGTATAAAGTAGGTATTACACAAAAAGTGAATGCAATCATTACCATGGCAGAGTAGCCCCAATAGTAGAGAAGGTAAGGAGTAAAAGGTTAGCATGGTATGGGCATGTTATGAGGAGGGATGAATTGCATGTTACAAGGAGAATGTTAGTTATGAGTGTGGAAGGGTACATTGGTAGAGGTAGACCTAGAAACAGATGGATGGATTGCATATAAGGTGACATGATCAAAAAGGGAGTGATGACTGAGATGACATATGATAAGAGTTATGTGGAGGACAAAAACCTGTTGCAACGGCCCTAAGGGAGTAGGATAAGGAGGAAGATAAACTCTGTAGGTACAAATTGATTTTATCTGTGCTTGTTGTGAACCAGGAGCTGATTTATAGATCACCAAATATAGTTTTACCCATGACTATTTGTTTAGATTCGATAACTTAACCTCATATGTACGTAATTTACTAGACATTGTTACGGCGAAGGAAAACATGGTGAGGAAACCTGCACATGTCATCAAAGAAATACAAGGATATGTGTGAAGTCAACCAACTCACACATGGCCAGCATCTTTGAATATGGCCCAGTCGCACTAACTAAGGGTAAGCTCCGAGCCCCTTGATGGGTATGTTTAGTGAGCTGGTGATTTATAACCTCCAATAACTTGTTCTCAATTTAAATTTAAGGAAATCGTAATAATTACTTACACTTCTTCATTATTGTTGTTTACAGAGTGATGCTTCTGTATATGTCGATGTGCTAAGAAATAAGTATTGAAATTCTTGAAGCATTTCGGACATTCGTATTCCTCGCCAGTGTCAATAGTCTTAGTTGCACCTTTTCCCGTTTTCTCTGTGATTTTGTTCGCTGGTTTATTGTTGACAATTTTCTTCGTCGGAGCAGACTTTGGGTTTACTAGTTTTACATTCTTTATAGCTTGTGCCTGCACCTTCGGTTTCATAACTACCTGTTTAGATGCAGTTTTGGCTTTCACTTTATTTGTTACACTGTGTACGCACATTTGATGTGTTTTAAGAGCTTCAGCGCTCATCAACCTACGACAGCAAATATCGCACTTAAACGCTGGATTGCGTAGTTTTATTTTATTGCCTGATCGGGTGCCCATTTTCTGATCAGCATTTAACATTTACGATGCACTTTATATTGTTTTGACTTCTATTCCTACAAAATGTATAACAAGTTAATAAGATCGAGTGACGCCTGTCGGAATTTTAGAAGTCAATTTTTTAATTTGGTTCTGAAGAATAGGGATGGGCGTTACGATGTGTGGGTTTATACAATCGATATTTAAAATTGATCGACAAGTGATTTTATATATTTTAAGCGGCGCACAATGGGCTGTAACCAGTTGCTCCATAGACAACTTTATCTGATGTTTGAAATGTCTCTTTTTTTTGCTTGAATGTGCTTTGTATCAGTAAATGC